ATTTGGAAGATGCTGACATGGATTCAAAAGGACAGGAAAATGGGTACGTGTGGCCATAAGCTGGGGTATTTCTGGAATAAGGGGTGGATTTGAGGGCTACTTTGCAAAAGGAAGGAGGTCCCACAAGAGATAAAAGTTATCATCATCCACTCACATGCCATCTCTTCATACAACTAACTTTTTCAGAACAGTCCCACATTGTTCAGAGGATCAGTTCAAACCCCACCAACAAAAGAGACACAAAAAGAAAAGAACGAGAGATAAGGAAGAAAACCATCCATTCATTAACATTAACAAGCCACTCCAAGAAAGGAGTAAACAAAACTAAATAGATTACAAAGAGTGACAAAGGCCTGCTTCTTTAGTTTTTTAAGAAACTTAGACCACAAATCCCAACCATTTACATGGAGGATCTTTTCAAGTAACAAAACGCACGGAAGAGGGTCAAAACTTCCCACTACAGAGATATCACATGTTGCTAATACTAACCCAAACCTAAAATAGGTATACAGGAGAGAGAGAGATGGGGGACATTACACTAGGTTGAATGATACATGGGATGGGAGAAATAAGGGTGAAATGATGTTTTTGTCCTTCATGGGCAGTTGGAATTCTTACCAGGGCCCCCATAGTAAAAGTAATGGCCCCAATCTCCATTGCTGCCTGTTTGGACATCATAGCAGTTTGACTGTTCAGTGTAGGTGCCAATCCCTTTGGGAACCTTGAGGTTATTGGAGCCATCTACGACCTGAATATTCCTGAAATAACTTGATTTGCCAAAGCCTTCTTCAGGGAAATGGCCACTGCCCATTTGAGTGGAGGTGTGATGACCATCTGGTTCTGAATTCACAACCTCACCTCCCCATTCGATCATGGACGCACTGTCTGCTAAGTACGAAAATAAGAATGATGGCCAATAACCCAACACATAGTTATTACCAAACTGCATCCACCAATGCCCCTCTGTTGGATCCTGCACAAGGTTCCCACATGCATTAGCAAAGTTGAATATTTGTAAAGCCACTTTTTCTAACAAATTTAGGGCGATTTTTTTATGCAAGAAGGTAACAACTAGACATAGTAGTTTTCTCATGTTTTGCTAGGTAGATTGAGATTTGGAGGTTTCATCTCTTTCCTTAATCACAGATGGTCCAAATAAGTGATCACAAAAGAAAATGCCAATGATTCTCAGCATCTGAAACACGGTGATGTCTTTGAAACCTCCAAGTTCAATTATCTGGATAAAGATACTGTTGTTACTGCTGAAACTGCCAAAGACTGCCAAGAATCGTGAGCTTCATTTGAAAAGGACAAATTCCAAAGATGCTCAAATGAATGCTTAGCAGTATCAACTTCATCGTCTTCTTTGGCTCTCTTTTTCAAATCTCAAATATGTTCATTCTTATTTTCATTTTTCTTTGAAACATCAATGATGTGCCTAACTTTTTACCTTCCAGATAAGTATACTTATATCAAACTGGGAATTACGATAGGCCGAAACAGGAGAAATGCTTGCTCCCATTGCTATTTCACTGTTAATCTGAATAAAACCCGAGCATAGGAGATTGTAGCAGCCAGTTGCTTGATATGCATCACTCTGTAATATATTTCACGTGCGTGAGTAAAACACCATATAACAGAAATCAAAATAGGCAAAGAAACATATTAAAATAAATATTACAAAGAAAATCCAGAAAGTGACAAAGAAAAATGATGGAAACTCACAGTCCAGTAGGTGAAGAGCCTTGTGTTGTTATCTCCATATAGATCTGGGCTAACCTGTTTACATATAGATGCAATATCAAAGTCAGCAACTTATTTATAAAAAAATGGAAATTGGGTTTCATCTCCTTGACTGTTCCCATTGTCAGTTCAATTATTGATCAATAAAAAAAGTATTAAGGAAGATAATATAGTAATCATACCTGCCAACCAGCTTCAATGCTGTTGAGATCTTCACCAAAAGAACCTCCTAAAATCCACAGCTGAGACAAACTGAACTCATTAGGCTGCTGTATCTTGGGTTCCCATACGTTTATAGTTGCCTTTGCTCCATAATACTGGTCCCCTTCCACAAAAGCTATTGCATGCTGATCCATACCCAAGATAAACAAAGCACAAGAGCACAAAACCAGTAAGAACAAACAGATAAAAACACAATCAATAAAGTGAATTGGTGAAAAAATAAAAAGTTATTTTCTTAAGAGACCCAAGAGAAAAAGGAAAAGGGGAAGAAGATTCACCTGATGACCACTTTCATTGATGAAGTCAGGATCTGCAGACCTTGGCTTAGGGATAGTTCTGTGCTTCTTCCTACCATATCTCTTGACTGAACTTGCTCTCAAAACATCTTCCTGTTTAGTTCTTCTAATAGGTATGGTTCCTTCGGGACATTTACCGTTCCACTGCCACAGCTGAGTAACAGGGTTTATTCTTTCAACGGGTTTCTCAGTGACTTTGTTCTCATCAAAGAGTCCTTCAGGGTGATAACTAGGCCTCATCTGATGAAACAACCAAACCCCAGAAACTCAATCAGTAACGGTTAGAGCAATAAATTTTAATCCAAAATGAAATATTAATGCATAAAAGTGAGTTGGAGGTGAAGAAATGACCTGAATCTTGTGGTCTTTGAGGAAAGGATGATCAAATGCAGGCTGGTGAGACATGTGAACACAGTCTATGATATCCCCATCTGGGCTCTGTTCAATAATGAAAAATCAAAAATAAAAAGTTCAGACATCTTACAAAGAAATACAGAAACTACATTCAGAAGTAGCAAAAGTTACAAAATAATAATAATAATAATAATGATGATGATGATGAGAAAAAGGGAACATAGTAGTAACTGGGCTAAACCCAACCCACTTGCAATAATGTTATCTTCTGTTTGGTTACTGAGAAAATTTATGAAAAAGAAAGAAAGTCAGTCACTTTACTACATTTCCTCTTATTTTATTTTGGAAGAAATTCATTCATTGCCATAATAACTGCATAAAAGGAAAATCATTACAGAGAGAGAAGGCAAATCATCAGAACTTCATTGTTTCTTCAAAAACATAAATTTCCATGAAAAATAGTACTACCCATCTGCAACTCTGCCCAGTTTCGTTGCTGAAAAATAAGTTAACGAGGAAATCACATATTACAAATTAATAAGCCCAAAATTTTCAAAATCACTAGCAAAACCCATATTACCTTTCTTAAAAAATCTAAAAACCCATTACAACATAGAAAAATTTTATCAGAAAATGCACTTTCCTTCACTTTCCACAAAACAAACGGACCATTTTAAAACCAAACAAAAGAAACATACAGAAAGAGAAAACAAAAACAAAAACCCATTTACCTGGATACTTTTGACAGCAGGTTTGTTCAAGCGCTTCAAGTGCTTTTGAACTTCAAGCTTCTGCCTTGAAACACTCAGCCTAGCAGCGCAAGATAGACATATCGAACCCCACAGCCACAAAAAGGCCAGCAACACTACTTTCATCCTCTCCATGCTAGAATGTGAACCCTCCTGAGACCAAAAAGCTCACTCTATCCAATCTCTCTGCTTATTAGTGCGCTCAAGCACCATTAACTGCCATTACCGTCACCGCCACACAAGAGGATCAGACCTAAAGGCTTAACCTTTGTGGTACTTGAGCTCCTCTTTGAAGTGGGTTTAGATTTGTTTCTACAAAAATCCAATTAGGCTGCTAAAAAACCCACTTTTCCCATCTAAAGACACAACCTTTCTCTCTCTATATCACCCACCGTTTTTCTCCCAAAATTTCTTTTGTCATTTTCCTTCACATCTTTTTGCTTTTCATTAAATACTGCCGCAGTGCCGCTCAATGGCCTCATGCCCGTCTCCGTGTCAGCTCCGCAATTAAAGCTAATTTTATTTTACTATCTAAATAGACTTGTAATATTTTTTTTTTCTCCATTTTCTGTTGCCTATATTCTTTTTGAATTTAGGCATCACAAAAATAAGATAATCGTCTCTCACTGCTTGAGTATGTTTGGTAGCTGGTGAGGAGTTTTTTTTTTTTTTTTTTTTTAAGATTATATTCTACCAAGGCTGTTGATTG